AGGAATGCCTTTTGGAAAGAATTCACCTTTCCATTTGAAAAGCATCTGTATTTATCATGACAGGCCTCTCTTTCATAAGAAATCTCCGAAAGAATTGAGCGCTGCAAGAAAGTACTGCTTTCTACTAATAGGTTTTTGGTTCTTCATATTATAAAAAATTAATGTTGTAAACCAAGGTAACGTATTCCTAGGGCATTGTAGCCAGTGAGCTGTTCTGCTTTGCTTTGGCTGGTAATTCTGACCATATGTTTTACTACCAAAGCCTCAGGGCCTAAAGAGTTAACAAGGCACTTTTTCTCGTTTTAGGTTTCCTGTTTAATGCCGGTCTCTTCCTGAGCACTGTGCGTGTAACAGATCATTGCACCAGCTCATCTCTTCAAGAGCTTGGAGTTTGCTCCAAGATCGGTTTACAAGGGAGCGGAGCCTCTGTGCCTTAGGCTGCGTTACGTTGGGAGTGCTTTGCTGAAAGAAGGATGTGGGTGTAGGTGCAGTGCTTGGAGGTCTTTTTCTTGGTGTTGATTAGACCTCTTCATGGAAGAAAATCTGCATTTCGTTGTAGAACTTCATGCATACTAGAAAGATTGGCACAGAGGGGGTCATCAGTACTCAGACGGCTGGCTGGCATAATTGTTCTTAGCACACGTTTGTAACGCCATCAGGACAGTTCTGCAGTCCTAAAAGTGACTAGATGGCTAGAAGTCGTCTTGAGTAATGAAGCTTCTCCCCGCATGGGATGGCCAGTGACAGCTGAGCAGACATGCAATTAAAAATTAAAATGGCTGAAAGGTAAAAACGCCCTCCCCTATTGCTGTGTTCAGCCTTTACGTGGAGCGGCTGGCGGGGGAGAGTGCCCCAAGCTGATTCACCTGCACGTTTCCCCAAGCTCTTCCAGTCCACGAAATCTGTGCCCCCGTTCGGTGAAACAAGCCAAGAGATGCTTCAGCCGTGGGTAGGTGAAATGCCTTGGGCAGGGAGATCTGAGTGCCCTCGGCACGTGTGCTGGTAGAAATTAGTGAGCCAGCGGAGAGACGACACAGCAGCAGAATAATCAAAGATACGGGAACAAAGCCTGTTTGGAGCAATCCTGCACGGTATTCTCAGCAGTCTTTCAGTTTGACTGCTGTTGATGGTGAAGCGATGAAACCGTCACTGGCAGCAACTTTGTTTGCCACAAATGGAGCTGTCACTTTTCAGAGTACAGGCGTAGGAGCGGAGGGGAGAGATCAGGCTGCGCTCTCCCAAGGACGTGTTTTCATTTGCTCTTGTCTCTAGCTTTGACACTAGATTCCTACAAGAAGTACTAGCCGACGCCAGGGCTGACATGAGGGATTACGTTCATGGTGCTTAGGAGTTGGTTGATTCCATTTTCCAATCTGAAGCAGGGACAGAATATCCCTTTTGAATAAAACAGCTTGGTGTCTAAGGAAGGAAAACCCTCTAACTTTGCTACCTGTGGAGCACTGTACATATTGTGTCTGTAAGGAAAAATAAATTTCTCCTACTCATAAAAAAATGTATCCTTCAAGCCATTTTTAGTTCTTTTTCTTTAAAGCTTTAACCTTACATGGAGTTGCCATGTGGTATTATCGGTCTGCCATCAACAGTAATTAAGTGCAGGAAATTTTCGTGTGAGCACTGATCAAACTAAACAGACATAAGTTGTTTTAACAGATTTTAAAAAGCAAAATGGAAATGGTGGAATTAAAGCATGCAACTTCTCTTTTTCCCATGTTCTTGACTGCGTTGGTTTGAACCTCTGCGTAGTCCTGACTTGCTGAGGATGGTGTTAAAAATAAGTTAGTTGTCTTGAAAATGTGAAGTGACAGTTTAAGCGTTTTGTTTCTGTGCTAATGTGCAATTAGGTAGTTATCCAATAAGCTGCTTCATGTAGCCTAACTCAAGTCAGCTGGGGAAGGAATAGAGAAAACCCTCACTGTTGAGGAATGGTGAGAGGGGAAAGGACGTTTAAAAGGACCTGTTTCAGAATTGCCAGTATAGGTTTTTTTCCATGTGTAATATAGTAAAGCATTAAAGGTTAGCAAGATTTGTGAAAAATTAGATTCCGCTGATCAAATCTATAGAGGTGAAACTAAAATGTGGATAGATCTAAATACTGGCAAATGTAGTATAAGTTTGGATCTATAAATTAACTCTAAGGCAACCATACAAGGTGGGGCCAACCAAATAATCTGATTGTCTGAAATGACTTGGCTAAGTGTATTCCGTTTGGGGTGAAGTACCTTGTACTTAGTAGAGGCTTCCTTGATGTCGTCAAATATTTCTCCTGTTTATGCACAAACATGAAAATAGTGCGTCTCCTTCAGTTAATTTACAGAAGCCGAAGCAGGCTCCATCATATTTTGTGTCAGTATTTTTAGGATTATTGACAGTATCCTACAACAGTACCACCCAAATGCCTGTGGGCTTAAGCGATGCTCGATCTCCTCCTGCTAAATGTTGCACTTGAAATGCGACGGATGCCATTACCCTGCTCCCAGAGCGCTTTGCTTTGTGGAGAGCACCTGTGCATCTCGCAAGCCTCTTCATTCAGCAGAGGGCACTGATCTTGCGTGCACACCGCCGCCCTCTCGCAAGCTTGTTTGGCCTCTTCATCTCTCTGCAGATCATCTGATGGTCACAGAAACTCGGCCGTACGGAG